TGGTGTTACCAGTGGCCAAACTGGTGAGCCCTAGAAACCAGAGCTGGTGCTACCAGTGCTGGTGCTCGGGGCCAAAGAGCCTGTCCTGGGTTCTCCAGGCTAAAACCAGCAAGCTGGTGTAAACCAGTAAGCTGGTGCCTGTAGCAACCAGCCCGGCTGGTGGAACTCCGGTAGGAGCTGGTGCTTCAGGCAAAGACCTACCAGCCACCAGTGTAGGTAAAGCTGGCGGTAAAATAGGAATAGGAGCTACAGCTCCCATGGCCGCTAACAGAGCGGTCTCTTAGTTTCACCTCAGCCGAAGGCAGCGCGACCTCACGCCACCCAGGAAAGGAAAGGAATCTTGTATGGGAATATCCCAAAGTAGCCCTGCAATGGAGAATCGACCGGAGCAGGAGGAACGTATGGAAGACAAGCCAGAAGCAGAAGCAGGAACCGAAGAAGCACCTGCAGAAGTGGTACCCGTTGCTGGAATTCTTGAGTTGGAAAAGCAGCAACCTGAGCATGTGCCTACTCCGAAGAGGTACACAGAACTGCTCGCACTTCCCAAAGTGGACAGAAGGGGAACAACAGCTACCCCAGCTATCCGACCAGGAGAGACCTCTACACCTACCACAGGAAACAAGAGTAGAGCAGAACGAAAAGAAGAGAAGAAGTCTGCCAGGAAAGAAGAGAAGAGGAACAGAAAGTTGGATAAGTTGGCGAGAAAACCTGGGGAGTCTGAAGCAGAGAGAGATCCAGTACGAAGAAAGCTCGATGCAGCTGTGGAGAACGCAGGCAGTATTGAATCAGTCATTTTGCTCGAAAAGGAGTATAAAGCCCTTCGGCAAGACCCATCGCACAGACCGAATTTCTACTCTCTTATCGATCAAATTATCTCGAACTTCAGACATATCCCCCGGTCAGTATACGGCCCCCCGGCAGGGCAAGAAGAGAGGATTGGACTTGAGGAACTCAGGAGAGAATGCCAAGCTGAAGACGCCCAAGCAGCTCAGGAAGCATCAGCAGGAATGGAAGAAGAAGATGGCGATTCTGCTTCAAGGAAACGTAAACTTGAAGAACTGGAGGAACAGAAGCGTGCCTTGGTCGAGGAGAATTCTAAGAAGCAGAAGGAACTCGAACACGAATCCCGAAGACTCAGAGCTGTCGAAGAAGCCGAGCGTAGAGCTCGAGAACAGCGTGCGAAGAACCCCAACGTACAAGTACCAGAAGTCTGAGAAAGGAGGAACATGGTTCGAACAGAAGTCTGCAGAACTGGTTGAAGAGTATATCCATGGACATGCAAAGCAGCAGAAGAAGTCAAAGGAAGCAGAAGCTGCATATGCCTCTGCGTGCAAGGATTCTGAGAAGGCACAGGAAGATTTCGTTTCTGCACTTCAGAAGGTTCAAGATAGCGCACAGCTACTTCAGAAAAGTATGGGCAGAGCCTTGGAAGCAGCCATCGAATTTGGCCGTGAAGAAGAGCGAACCAGAATTTACACCCAGGCGAAGGAGAAGTGTACACGACCTGAAACCTGGAGAGTTGAGAAGAAGATCGCGTCAGATGAAAAGTTCTTGGACTGTACCTACTACCCGTTCTCACCTGAATGGCAGGAGAAGGTACGAAAGGAACTGCTGGATTTGGCGTACCGTGGGTTCTCAACGAATGCCGATGGAGAAGTATTCGTCACGAAGAAGTTTGGATGGCAACTGCGATCAACCCGAGAGTTCTGTACCAT